TTCAGTACTTGATTTAGAGTTTCCCAACACATGCTATCATAAGCTTGTTCCATGTCAAGCTTCAATAGAAAGAATCCCGGTTTGGCCACAGACATTTTCATTTTGCTAGTGATTTCCTATGCAATCAGGCAGTTATCTGAGATACTTCTACCTGAAACAAAAGCTCCTTGGTATTCTGATATGATTTTTGGTAAATAATTTTTAAATCTGTTAAGGATCATTCCAGCCGCAAGCTTATAGACTGTTAGGCAGAGACATATAGGCCTGAACTTGGAGCATTCTTTAGCATTTTGGACTTTCGGGATCAACAACACCATCGTCTCCTTCCATTGTTCAGGCATCCTTCCAGTTTTGAAAAAATCATCAATTGCATTCCATGTAGTTTCTTCAACAATGCTCCAGTAATTTTTAAAAAAGCATGCATTGGCACCATCTGTACCTGGTGACTTGTTACTATCCATTTTCCTCAACGTAACTACCAATTTTTCTCTAGTAAAATTAGCTTTTAAAAAGTTCAGATTTTTTGCCTGAATACAATCTGAAATTTTGAACTTAGGCCAATCCTGTAAATTGCAGTTACGTTTTCCCCATTTTTCTGTGTAGTAATTCTCCAAGATTTTATGAATAGCATCCTGGTTTGTTTCCATTATACCATCTTCTCTCTCAATCTGTAAAATTTGGTTACCTCTTTTCCTAGCCGTTGCATAGGTATGATAGTATCTGGTGTTTTTCTCCCCTTCTTCCATCCACTGACATTTGGATCTCCGTCTCCACCAGGTAGAAATTCTTGCTAAATTATTATTGAATTCATTCACCTTGCTGCGAAGAAGTAATAGATCATCCTGGTTTAGACCTCCATCTCTAGCTTCACGCTCTTGTAGTTTTATAATCTCGTTTTTCAGTTCCTGAATCTTTATATTCATTTCTTTCAACTTATTCTTGCTCCAAAAGTACAAATTTTTGAGAGACCTTCTAATTTTCCATTGCAGAACTTCATTTGGGCTGCCAAAGTCATACTTCCTCCAAGATTTTGCTATCATAGATTATTCAAAAAAAAAATTATAACAACGTCCCATTTTAAAATTCAAAATTAAGGGTGCGGTTAGGGATAGTTGTGCCGCACCTCATAGTCCTCACCCATCTCTCACCCTATTATTTCACAAAACCACCCTCCACTCCACCCACTCTCTCTATTCGTAAAATTAACCCAACCCGCTGGCTCATCGAGGAAAATTTATTAGGTCCGAACACCGGATCTCGAGATTGTTCTTTACCTGTGCTTTTTTCCTGCACTTTAACTATGCTTTACCAGCACTTTACCTGTGTTTTACCTGCGCTTTAGTTGCACTTTGGGTGTTCTTGGCTTAAAGTTATGCAGACACATTAAACATATTGAATATCCATGTGTCCACTCCACGTGTCAACATTTTATTGACTTCCAGTTCTATCTCTAAGTCCAATGTCCGGACCTAATAATTTTCCCTCTCTCATACCCCTCCTAGTTTGCGGAATAGAAGCACTCCCCCTTGTCATATTGGTTGTTCACAAGAAGCCCAGGCAAGAATTGAAACTCCAAGGTCTCCTCGCCCAGTTGGCAAGGCTTCCAAGCTCCATCTCCTGTTGCTTGCAAAATCCCTCTATGTTTCCTACCTTTCTCTCACATTCTTGTTTGGAATCAGACCAGACGGAAGCCCTGACCTCCTCCTCCCTTCGACCTTCCAAAGCCGTGACCAGCATCTCCGACCAGTTCTTTCCTAGGAAGCCTGCCTCCCATACTTGATCTCCTTTTGTGTATAGGTGTATTTTTCCTCCTCTTCTTATTCTTTTTAATCTTCATTTTCCTTTATTTCTCTTCTCACCCTAGCCCTCTTCTTCTCCTCCTTTCCTTTTCAAGAATTTGAAGTGTTTCTCATTTCTTGAAACCATGAACAACTTAATAAAAGTCTTCACATGTATCTTGATAAAATTAAAATTGACTTGAGTATTTTTCTTTTCGCTAAAGGCCGAGTTTGTTTCTTGGAAAAGTTAAAAGGGATATGTTATATTTTCTTACTTTGATGATCAAGAACATGTCTGAATTGTTTCTTATGTTTAGAAATGAAAATTGGTAAATTTTTCTATGTATCTTTTCCTTAGAAACGAATAAAGTTTAGTTTTCCAACTTGCTTTTATCCTCTAAAGTTCACTAGTCACTCTTGTAATTAAAATTATCTTTACTTTAAACATCAAAATATGAATAAATTAGTAATTATTTCATAAAGATATATATGAAATTTGAAGGCTATCTTTCTCTAGAAATAAAAAAAAATGTTCCGATTTATTCTTTTATTGAAAATTGTTTTTTTTTTTCTTGAGACTCTCTTTTAACACAAAAATGAAATTAAACTTGCGATCTTATTTCTCTTTATGAGAAATGGTTTTAGTGTATCTCCCAAGCGGCAAATTTTTTTATGAAAAGTATTTGAATAAGATTACTCCCTTATAGGTTTGTTTTAATTAATGAAATGAGAATGTTTATGGAGTACATGTATTATGCTTAAAAGAAGAAATAGGATGATAGTGCTTTTATTGTGACAATGCATCTCATATTTGCATTGGGTGTAAATATTGAGTTGAAAAATAGGTGTATGTGTTGGTGAAAAATGATGCATATAGTTGTGCTCTATTTTTTGTAGTATGTAAGAAAATGTGTAGATTTTTTTAGAAAAGATAAAAAGTACATGTATGACTTTAAAAGGGCTCTTTGTGTGTAGATTAAGAAAGAGAGAGTGTGGACTATGAAAGGTAAAGTGTGTGTATGATTTGAAAAGTAAAATTTTGGGATTTTGGAAAGTGAGAAGTGTATGTTTCAAAAGGTGATTGTGTGATCTTTGAGAGGTGAAAAGGTGTATGTTTGGACAGTGGATTGTGTGTTTCTTTAAAAAAATGATGATACATATAAATGTGAAAATAGTAAAGTAAGGTGTGTGTGTTTTGAAAAGTGTTATTTGTGTGTAGATTAAGAAGTGTTACATGTATGCTTTGAAAGGTGATTTGTGTGTTTCTTTGGAAAGTGATATGTGTAAATGTGGAAAAATGAATTGTGTGACTTTGGAAATTGAAGTGAAGTGTATTGATCTCAAAAAAGTGAAGGTGTGTATGTGAATAATAAGTGAAGTGTGTGAGTGTTGAATAGTGTGGTGTATGAATTGTGGAAAGGTGAGCTTTGTGTGTGTGTGTGTGTGTGTGTATGTTGTAAAATAATGTGAAATGTGTAAATGTGTAATAGTAAAGTGTGTGGAATGTTGAAGTGGATTTTATGTGTATGTTGAAGGGTATTAGATGGGAAAGAGGAAGAGTGGATTATGGTTTTTTGAAAGGTAAAGAGTGGTTTTGAAGATAATGTAGAAAATTTTAGGAAATGAAATGTTCATATGAAAAGAAAAGTGTTTTGGTGTAGAAGGAGAAGTGACTTGTGTGTGTTTTGGAAGGGGTGATGTTTTGGAAAGTGTGTATATAGATCCGCTAGAACATCCACTGGAAATAAGCAGTTTTCATATAGTGGTGGAAGGAGAAGTAAATTGTGTGTGTTTTAGGAGGTGAGATATTTTGGAAAGTGTGTACTATAAAGTGTATGGATTTTAAAATATTGAGATTTGTAAAGTTGAAAAGTGGAACTTGTGGGTGTTTTGAAAAGTGGAGCACAAGTGTATGTTCAAAAGATGAAAATGAGTGAATTTGGATAGAGATGTGTGGGTGAGTGTGAAAGTGTTTGTGTTGAAGGGAAAAGTGTGTGAAAGGGTGAAAAGTGAAAGTTAGATTGTTAAGGGGTGAAAGGTGTGTGAGTGTTGGAGAGTGAGTTAATTGGGTGATTATTAGAAAGTGAAAATGTTGAAAAGTATGAGCTCTCTTTCTCTCTCTATCTCTCTTCTTCTTATTCCCCTTTCTTGTGCCTCGCCATGAATGTTAGAAAAATACAAAGTATGATTTCATAAGTAAAAAGTTCAAAAGACAATCAACCGAATTGATGTGCAAGCCCTAAAAAAAGTATGTTTAGATTTAACTTACGTTCTTTTAATTATTTCAATTATAATTATTAAATGTGCTTCTAATACCTACTTTATTGTCTTTATTCACATGAATTATGAGGAATGGTATCGATTAACAAAGAAAAAGGTAAAAAAGGGATAAAGGTGTCTGTCGCCCCCATCTAATCGGGTGGGGGTGCTATGGGAAAAAATACCAGATGTTTGCTCCGGTACAGTGTAAGTATTCTAAAACTTAGACAGCCTTAAGGCCCAAAACCCTTAATGTGCATGTGCGAATTTCCAACCTTAGGGCCCTATAGAAACCTTATTTTTGTTTATTATGCATTTTAAATTTAAATTACTTGCAAGTTTTTTTTATTTTGTTATTTAGATTTTATTTTTTTATTTAGAACCCAAAACTTATTTACATGTGCATATATGTTGAAAGGGGGGTTTTTTTTTAAGAAAATTTCATACCAATAAAAAGAGGAGGTTACAACATGCTATAAAAACAGTACAAAAAAGTTACAGAGATACATATCGAGGGGAGTGAGAACCAACGGGCTCAGCAAAAGGCATAGACTTCCAACCAATCCCAAGCCAGGCTCGGGCCTTACAGTTTGGAATGAGAGAGTAGCCAACACTACAGGAAAAAAAGCCAATACTGGCGATTTTTTCCAGCGGTTTAGAAGGTTACACCGGTGATTTTCAGTTACACCGGCGGCTTATCGGCGGTTCATAAACTGCCAAAAAAATTGGCGTAGGAAAAAATTCACCGGCGGCCTAAGTTTTTGGCGACGTAAACCGTCGGTTAATAGCCCTCTTTTTACCGGCGATTTGACGGCACTTACACCGCCGGTCATTGGCTCACCGGCGGTGCGTTCACCGACGTCTTGCCGGCGGTTACGGCTGCCGACGAGAGTCAGATAAATATCTGGCACGCGTCGGTTCACCGCCGGTGACATACCAGCGACTTGACAAAAATACCGGCGGTCATAAAAACCGTCTGGTATCGTCCTTTCCGGCGGCTAAATCGCCGGTTAGCCGCCGGAAACCTGTAGCACTTGCAAAAAAAAATTGTCAGCATCCCCTCTATTTGAGGGAGGTTCACCCTAGATTCTAAACCTCCATATAAAGCAATATATAACAACAAGTTTTGGGCAACACGCCGCTATATTCAATCAACTATCACAATTATAAACATAAGCACAATAAAAAAACATTAAATGTAAACAAAGTTAATATGTTCAGGTCACAAGTTCACAAGTTCAGAAATTCACAAATTAACAAGTTCACAATAAACATAAAATAGTTCTAATCTTCAGCTGTATCCTCGCTGTCTCGAAATGTTCGTCATGGCTCTTCCTCTTGCTTTCTCTGATTTTCAGTTCTGTAGGATTGCAGCTCAGCTTCCATTTCATTTTGATCCCTTCTCATTTCTTCAATCTCTCTAATTAATGCTGCAACCCTCCGACTCACAGTTTCTTCAACTCCACTTGGATCATAAAATGTTGAGGTGGATGAACTACCCTCATAAGCATAGCCCTGTATACCCAAGCCATATATCCTCTCCCTCTGTCTTCCACCAACAACATCTAACCAAGTATGATACTCAGAAGTGTGGGCTGATCCTGAAGATGATCCCTCACCAAGGGACTGGCGGCTTTCTCGAGCTCGTACAAAATCATCCTGCGAGAATAAAGCCATAAAATAAATTGTAAATTGATATTACAATTAGTTTTACCCTAAATAAATTTTTATTCAAAATTTCCAAAAATATTTACTCACATGAGCCTTCTTAGCCTTTTCATCAACCCACTGATGATCAGCTTGATGTTGATGAGTTCTTGTATGCAACTCCAGTGGTGTTAGCTCCCAACCAAGGTACTCTTTCTGAAAATTTAAGATATAGTTATAATAACATAAATCTATTTAATGTACTAATTTAAATCTCTTACCAGTCGCCGTCTATGTTCCGTGTGAGGTACAGATCCACCAGTATGAAGAGAGCTACATAAACCACCACAGTCAGAGCCTCCATTCTGTTTATTCTGCTCTCTCATTTTTACAAACTCAGGGGTCGCCCAAGCACTACTCAAATCAGCCCAAACGCCCTCTCCAATCCAATTAGGATGCTGCCCGGACTTTTTAATGTTCGTGAACATGTCCTTGAGACGGGTCGCTCCTCTCCTCTCAAAATTTGTTCTGATCCTCGTGCTGTACTCAGGCAACCACCTAAATTCTTTCTGAAAAGATTTAGAAAATACCAAAAAGATTAGTACAAATTAAATCACATATTTGAAATCATACCAAATAAGTATACCTGAAATTCTCCAAACCATATATCTCTAACCGGCTTTGGGATCTTTTTCCAGGATAAGTAAGGAGAATCATATTTATTCTTTATAATATCCTTGATCATATGTATAGGTGG